CTGCTAAGGACTAAATCTGATAAAAATTCTGCAAATTCAGATAGAAACTCAGAATATGGGCCAGGAGGGCAGTAAACTACAACAACTAGAACTGGCTGAAAGGTTCTTGAGACTGGATGTGAAAAACTAAGAACAAAGCTTTCAAAAGAAGACAAATTCAGCTTTGGTCGAGGGTTAACTAGAAGACTAGAATTAAAAATAGCTGCTACTCCACCACCTCGTCCGGTGTCTCAAGGTATATGAGTACTAAAATGACTGGGAGGAGTGGATTCATTTAAACTAACAAATTCATCTCGACATAGCCAGGTTTCAGTCAAACAAAGTAAATCAATATGCTGATCTGATATCAGATCATCAGGACCTAATGATTTTTTAGCAAAATCGTATTCGTAGTTTTGATTCTAATGAGATTTTTAAGATTTATGCCTTGTTTTTCTACGTTTGGATGACTTATAAAAACAGGTCTGGGCCAGGGGACAGACACAGTACCTATAGTATAACTACATTTAGATTCAGAATTACAGCTATAGTGACTGGGAGACAGATCTAAAGCCCAATTCACACATACTCCGTGCGCGCCGCGGCCCGTCAGCACCGCGCACTACGTTGTACTTAACCTCCGCTCTAGTCTATCACTGTGTTCACACAGCGCGCGCTGCGGTCCGTCTCCGGCGCGAGCCACCGACGGCACTGCGCTCTGCTCCGTTTCAAGTACGCAGCGAGTCCATTTTCGCCGGAGTACATTGCAAGTTTGCGTCAAGCTAGACAGAATATGACAGCCCAGACAGGAAGTCAGACAAGGAAACGCACAGAGCATCCAGTCAATTTCAAAATAAAACACAATATACAGACTCGCGATCGTATTTTTCATCACTTTATCACATTACATCAAAACAGGAACTGAATTAACAACAATGCATCCTCAGAAAGATGTTGATGTTGTTTGCACGTTTTTCTCTTTATTCCTGCGGGATCTTGTAGTTCTCCTGTGATGTGTCATGGGTGCGCTGACGTCCCAGAAACGGATCCAGTGTGAATGGGTGCGAGCCGTCCGACAGAGCAAAACCGTGGCGCTGACGGACCGCGGCGCACACGGAGTATGTGTGAATTGCGGGTAAGGGAGGCGCAGAGAAGCGTGTAAGACTGCAGCTCTGCCTCCTGGTCTGAACTCTGTGTTGTTGTCAAGGTTTTGGACTAATAATCTCTGCTATGTTTCTAGATAATAGAGCTGCACCGTCCAAAGTGGGATGGATGCCGTCTCTAGCTAGCAGACCAGGTTTTCCCCAAAAAGACTGCCAGTTATCTATGAAGCCCACATCATTTGCTGGACACCACCTCGGATCTGTACCTTTTATGTTGGTCTGTCTAAAATTTGACTCAGGCATTTTCAATGCCATGGTAAAAGAGATTTAGTTAAACCAAATGTGTGTTCTCTTTGTCTTTACAGGCACGTACTGGACAAGTTATAAAAGTCTGAGCCCCATTGTCAAGAGGATTCTTCAAATCTACCAACGACAATGTTGATGCGGTCTCATTCAGAAAGGAGAGCCCTTCTTGGGTTCACAGCTCTTCTGACACACAGCACGCCTAAACAAAGAGATGTCCTATCCCCACCTCCCCTATCCTTCCCCCCACAGGAGTCCATCTTTACTCCCATATCTCTTATGTCGCCACCTCCCTGGGTGACTCAGGCACTTTCCAACCTGGAGCAAGGAGAGCAAGAGCTGCAGAGCCTCAGGGAGCGGCAGCAGGCTGAAGTGGAGGAGGTGAACCGCGAGTTGGATAACGCAGCGATTAAAGCTCAGAGAGAGGAGCGCCGACTTCTTGAGAAGGTCGAGCAGGACCACAGGGAAGCCCAACGTAGACTTAGTCAGGTGAAGAGGGAGAATGCTGCTGCTGTGAGAGTCGTCCAGTCACTTGTTGATCAGCAACTTAGAAAAATGGGACAAATCAAGGAGCAGATAAAGAGATGGGGTGGTACAGCTGGTGGATCCAACAAAAACCAGCTCCAAAGAGGAGTGGCAGAGATCACCCAACCTTGGGAGATCTCTTTCACACTGAAAAGAGTCAGTTTCTTACCAAGCCCTGGGTCCAAGAACTTAAGCCTAGGGGAAGTCGAAGTTCATGAGCAAGGCATGACCTACCCTATTGGTGTCTGCAGCGTACAAGGACAAAAATGCGCATTGCATTCAGGAGATACAGCATTTTCAAATGTAACCCCTCTTGAAATCCGAAAGGAGCCCCAACCAAACAGAGCTGGGCAGAGGTGCAGTCCAGATGAAAGCAATAAGGGAACCAGCGGGAACATGCGAGTGTTCCGGAAACTACGTCTGTCAAGCTCTACAGAGAACGAGGATGAGACCAAATCCTCTGCCTTAAAATCCCCAATTCGAAGACATCGTGGTGTGTCTGAGTCCTCCCAAGACGAGGAGCTGGAGTCTGTTTGTTCAGAAACACAGGGGCAAGACCTTTTCCTCGCGATCCCCCCAGTCTCCAGTCAAGGGGAATCTGAAGGTGATGAATGTGATGGCAGACAAAATGGAACTAAGGGGCGCTCCACACTGAAGGGTAAGAGGAGGCAAAAGGCCCTCATCTTTGTCTCAAGTGAAGAGCCATCCTGCCCACCTGAAGAGACTTTTCCAAAAAGTGGCAAAGTGGCAATGTCTCCAAAGATGAGGCGCAAAAGTCCACTTTCTCAGAGAAAGACCTCAAATGAATCTTCAGTGGAAAGTGGAAGCCCTCCATCCCCAGTGGACAGCGAGGATTCTTGTTACACCTATACTGTGAATACTCCAAGCAATGGATCCCTCAAAGAGCACAGCCGCTCAATGTCCACAGATGACCTCTCAGGTAAACTTCACCCTTTGATTAACGAGGACAAGGGAGAGGGTAAAGGAATCAGGAAGGTCAACCGAATGCGTCTTGCCACTGAACCTTCAACTCTTGCACAAGGCAAAGGAAATGGCACAAATACTGAAATAAATAAAATAAATTCTGAAAAACAGCAAGCAAGATCCCATAGCCAAGATGAACCGGGTTTAAACCGAGAGAGCAGATCTCTTTCCATCTCGGCAATCGAAGGAGACGAATTACACCAAGTCAAGGAATCACAGCAGTACCACAAAGACAAGACAGAAAGTGTTCCAGAATTCAGGAACCTGGAGGAGGAGGGGGGTTCGACTGCTCTCAACTCCGCTTGTCTGGTCAAGCAGTTTGGAAAACAAGGATCAGGCCGCACTGACTTCAACCTACCAAGCGGTGTCCATGCGACCTCCAAAGGGCAGCTGTTTGTGGTGGACTGCGGAAACGCCCGCATTCAGGTGACTGATTCCCATAGGAATGTTGTACAGCAAGTATCTCCTTCAGGAACGGAAAGATGTTCCCGCATATGCAACTACTTTGACGTGGCTGTGAATTCAAAGGGACTTATTGCGCTGACTTGCGCCGCTGAACGAGCCGTCTTGGTGTTCAGTCGCCATGGACGCCTACTGCAAACATTTGGAGGCACACTGGTCGGTTCCACCAATGAAGAGCTGGATGCTCCAAGAGGGGTGACCGTGACTTGTCAGGATGAGTTCTTGGTTGCTGATATCAAGCGTGGCACCTTGACTTCCCTTAAGCTAGACCCAAAAAGCGGCGCTAGATTGGAGCGCACCGTCGTCACCGGGTACCACAGGCCTTATCTGGTGGCAGCTTGTCTCACCACGGGGCTCATGGCAGTATCCGAGCGAGGGAACGAGACTGGCCGTGTGCCATGCATTCGAGTCCTGGAGCCTGGTTGGAACACTATAAGAATCGTCGGGGTGTGCTCTGGCCTGGGGCCGGTCTTGTCATGTCCCTGGGGTCTCTGCATTGACGGGGACGGGGACGTCCTGGTAGCAGACTGGGGCAAGCAGCACCATCGTGTTGTACTGTACCCATCCAAAGGAGTTGGCTGGCCTCTGGTTCATGAGAACCTGAGTAGCCCAAGGGGTCTGGCACTTCTTCCCGATGGCCATATTGTCGTGTCAGACAGCATGAATCACTGCATCAAGATCTACCGCTACAAGTGAACCATGGAGGCATGAAAACACATTTTCAAAGTTCATTTGAATTTTTATCAGACGTTGAGAAATCTTTAACAGCAGGCAATAAATATCCGACTTTAACGAGTTAAGCTTGCAGCCTCTACCTCCTATCTGTTTGTTTTTTTAAGATTCATTTTTTTGGCTTTATGTGCCTTTAATGTAGAGATAGGACAGTGGATAGAGTCATTAGGTAGAAAAGGACGGGAATGGAGCGACAGGTGGGATTTGAAAACCTGAGCTGAGGACTACAGCCTCCATACATGGGGCGCGCGCACTAACCACTACGCTACCTGCGCCCCCCTCCTATCTGTTTTAATTGGTCAGATCATGTTAAATTAAGATAAAGATTATAATCTTATTTTGTTTGCTTTTTCAGTGTGATAATTAGTTGAGCCAAGGCAAATGTAGAAGATGAGTATTTTGTTTCCAAATCACATTTATTCAGTATATTAGGTATAAGTAGTGCATTCAAGATATCCTCCATGCATCCTTTAAAACATCTATGCTGTTTACCTCAATGATATCAATATCAATATCGATAATTTGACTTACTATAATTAAGAACAATGTATTGATCAATAATCTGTAGACTTTAGACTGGTTTGTATTTGTAATCATGTCCCTGATTCACATGATTAAACCTTGATTTCAATCGGACCGTCCTTTCATGAGCATTGCCACACATTAACCCACAACGCCAAAGGATGTTCCTTACCTTGTGTATTTGATCTGATATACTGTGTCAATATGAGACATCACAGAGACATCACCCAATACGTTTGTTGGACAGTATTTTTTTGTAAATGATCACGATTGAGCCTGTTTTGTAACAGCAAAAATTCCAACATGTGGTCAGTCCAAACAAACACACACTGTGTTCTTACTTATCCACCCACACACACACACATCAGTATAAAAAGCACAGAGTCAGCCCCTGCTAAGCTCCACTCTACAAGGACTTCTTCACACAGCATGGAGCTGCTCGCCAGAACCCTGTTTCTGTGCTTTACATTCACCCTGACTTATGGAGCACCGAGGTGAGTATTAAGTCCCTTTTCTTTATTTGAATTTACACACAGAAGAGGTAAATGTGCTCTTCTTGATCCTCCATGTCTGTTGAATGCTGAGGTATTGTGCTTGTTTTAAGATTTTGCAAGAACTTTTCAACTTAAAACAAACAAATATGTGTCCAGTTAAAGTTATGTGAAAGAAATATGGATTAACTTCAGGTTTAAATTAAATAGTCACCCATATGTGAGCTTATTTCAGCTCTCCTGGAGAAATGGTTGAAAGTTTCATTCAGCAAGTCTTAAGTTTTAAGTTTCCTTTGTTGGTCTTTGTTTTCAAATTTAGAAATGTATGAGCATGCATTCTTTTTTTTGTATAATTGATATCTTATTGACTTTTAGAACAACATTATAATAGCAAACAATTATAAAAAACAAACAAACAGACAAAAATATTTCATATGAAAAGGAGAGGTTGATTATCGTCTCCTAAACCTGTAACTATTCTCTGCAAATGTCTGCCACTCCGTTTCTGTAATTTTGAACAGTTCAACCAAGACATGTAAAAAAATGCACGTCACTGTGAGTTGGTTTCATAACTTTATTTGCTCACTCACAAAGTTCAGCAGTTGGATCAATTGGATAAATACAAGAGTGCAATCTGTCATGTAACGTCAGTGTTGTGTCACAGGTTGACCACTGAAATGAAGTGTCATACTTCACTGAAATGAAAAATAACAACCTTTTATTTTTCACTCACAGCCCCCCACACGATGCAGCCACAGAAGGTGATTTTTGAATACTTTCTTCTGCACAATACTTGTCGTATGATGCACATCTACTTTACTTCATTCATGTGTTTCAATCTCTAAAACAAAGATGTTGATGCTGCTCTCCCTGATCGCTGTGGAGGTCTTGAGTTTGATGCCATCACTCCAGATGAGAAAGGAATGACTTTCTTCTTTAAAGGTGTGGAAACTGTCTTTTTTTTTATTTCATGACCTATCAGGGTTATCTACTTTCATTTTGAACGTGGACTATATTTTCTCATTGGATAATTTATGTTCCATTATTAGATTTCCTTGTGATCTTTGCCCTTCAGGTAGCCACTTGTGGAAAGGGTTCACTGGCCCAGCTCAGCTCTCCAATGAGTCCTTCAGGGAGCTCGATGACATCCATCACATTGGCCATGTTGATGCCGCCTTCCGTATGCACAACCCCGAAAACACAGACGACCACGATCACATCTACTTCTTCCTGGTAGGATCCACAAATTCTTTCATTTGTGATGCGATTCGTCCAGAAATTCTGATCGCTACATGGTGCCACCATTTTTTTTGGTATAATCTGCAGGATGATAAAGTGTTCAGCTATTATAACCACACTCTGGAAGAGGGGTATCCAAAAGAGATTCACCTGGATTTCCCAGGTATCCCCACTCACCTGGATGCTGCTGTGGAGTGTCCCAAAGCAGAGTGTGGGGCCGACTCGGTCCTGTTCTTCAAAGGTGTGTTGGCATTTAAATCAATCAATCAATCAATCAATCAATCAGTTTTTATTTGTATAGCGTCAACTCATAACAAGTGTTATCTCGAGACACTTTACAAAAAGCAGGTAAAAGACCTTACTCATTGTTATGTTACAAAAAGCAGGTAAAAGACCTTACTCATTGTTATGTTACAAGAAGCAGGTAAAAGACCTTACTCATTGTTATGTTTCAAAAAGCAGGTAAAAGACTAAGGATGGCTAATAAATGAGGACTTGAATAAAAGAATGTATCCCCTCAGGAAATGATGTGCATGTTTATGACATCAGCACAAAGACGGTGAAAACAAAGGTGTGGCCTCACCTGCCCGTCTGTACCGCTGCTTTCCACTGGCTGGAGCACTACTATTGTTTCCATGGACACAACTTCACCAGGTTCCACCCGCTCACTGGAGAGGTGAGCGGCTCCTACCCAAAAGATGCCCGCAATTACTTCATGATTTGCCCAAACTTTGGTGAGTTTTAATAGGAAAAAAACCTGACCTATTAAAACTGTGTTATTAAAAGAAATACTTCTATTTTGATGGAAGTATTTACATTTCTAGAAAGATGCATATTTCTATCTTTCTCTGCAGGTCATGGAGATCGTTCAAAAGTCCTTAAATGCAGTGACGTCAAACTAGATGCCATTACCTCTGATGACGAAGGCAAAACATATTTTTTTGCAGGTAAAGTAAAAAAATGCTCATGTAAAGGAAGAGGTCACATGACTAAGAAAGCGCTGATTATATCATAGACTATGTATAAACATTGATGTAGTCTCAGTGTCGTCACCCATTGTTTTCTGAAGCAGCATTTTGAAGCCCATCAGTGGAGAACGCCATATTGGAAATTCCATCTCAGTTACAGAGGTGTAGCTGAGGGAAACCCTGAGCCTCTTCAGTCAGTCTGATCTGCCACACCCCTAATTATGAATCACTTTTATCATCCATAGAATCAAAAAGGATAGTAATAGATTAATAGATAAATTCACCCCTCTTAAAATTTTTGACGATTTAGAAATTGGCTAGTCAGAACAATTTCATTTTTATGAACCAAACTGTAAAGATGTTTATTTCTGTGGTAAAAAAGAAAAAAGCCTTTTTTGATTGGGTGTGTATGTGACCTCCGGGCTTTTGCAGCTAGCCTCTAGTGGACACTTGAGGCAACTGCATTTTTTTTTTGCATTTCTTAATTTCTTTCATTTTTCAAAACCAGAAGTTTCCCCTTGGTTTGCGTCTTTGTGTTTAGTGCTAATGAGCTAGCATGCTAACAAATATAGTCATATGTGTATCAACCACACAAGCTAGTGTTTAACATTGGGAAATTAGCATTGTTTGAGTTAGCGATTCAGCATGCAGACCTTAGCATTTAGCTTAACAGCCTTGTGACCGGGGTTACTTTGCAGTTTTTTTTTCAGATATTTAATGTTTTTTTGTTTAATTTAAGAGGTACTCTTAAAAGTGTTTCTGAACATTGATGAATCAAAGGCTTGCTGTGCTTTCAGACTTAATGATAGCCTAGCTAAAGCCTGCTTGTTCCGGCCATGAGATTTTTATTCTGAAGAAGCTCGTCTCCTAATGTGCCAAACTATACCTTTGGATTCTCTCTTTGAATTAGTTATCTTGCACCTGCCGTAAAAATCTCACTAAATCCACATTTTGATTTGCTCAGGCCCCATGTTTATGCGCCTCGACTCCCGCCGCGACGGCCTCCACGCCTTCCCGATAACCAGAACGTGGAGGGAAATGACGAGCGGGGTCAACGCTGTGTTTTCCTACACTGACAAAATGTACATGATTAAGGTAATTGATAAAACAAATATCCTGCTTTTAACAGAAACCTTTCTGTGTGAAAGTTTGAATTACAAATCCCCCATGTGCTTTTGGACTGCCTCCAGGGTGATCAGGTTTACATCTTTAAAGGAGGAGCTCACTACACCCTGATCAGCGGTTACCCTAAAACTCTGAAGGAGGAGCTCAGCATTGAAGGGCCTGTGGACGCTGCTTTTGTCTGTCCTGATGAACACACAGTTAATATCATTCAAGGTCAGTTCATTCACTGCTTATAGGTCATTTTTGTTGCAGATTTTTGGTAAAAGTTACATTAAAGGCTTAATATGTGATTTTTCACACTTAAATGTAGAAATCAAGTATATCCTCTGAAAATAACTCTGAGACATGACTGTCTACAATGGGTGTAACACCCGAGTCCCACTGTCTTTGATGTATACAGCGTGTTTATATGGACAGGTTAGGCTCCTCCCCTTGAGTATAAAAGTTGTTTAATTGAGGGACTAGAGAAAAGAAGAATTACATACTGTACTCACTGCTTAACTGTGTTTTTAGATCACGGTCATTTCAGGTAAATTTACATGCAGTGTGAAGATACGAGCATAATAAAGATCGCTAGCATTAGCATGCTAACACAACAATGCAGCACGAGTTGTTTTGGTTTCATGCTGGTGCTCAAGGGCGACATCTGCTGGATCAAAAAAACACATATAAAGCCTTTAACAGTAACACTCTGGGATTATGGGCTTGATAGGAAAAGTTGAATCAGAAGTGAAGGTTTAGTTTTCAGAGTTAAAATCTTTACACACGTCTTCCAACAGGAGAAAGGATCCTTTACGTCGACTTAACCGCCACGCCAAGGGCCGTGACCTTTAACCTGACCATGCCGGTGAACAACATTGACGCAGCTCGTTGTGGTTCAGATGGAATTGAGTTGTTCATGGGCTCAAAGTTTTTTAAATATCTTGATGTCGCGACGCTGACTATGACCAGACTCCGCCCGATGCCTCTGAGTATTACCTCTGAAATGATGGGATGTCAGGATTAGGGACCAATGATCCAGACTGTTTAAATACACCTAAACACTATGATGAATTAATGAATAAAAAGTGGAAAACTTAAGATCTTGAATGACATGTATTGTGTTCATTGAAATTTAAGATATTTCTATATTTGCATGTTTGCAGAGGTTTAAAAACACTGTAAAGAACAAAATTCAGTAGAACATGTGTCATGTCACAGGCTGGCCACCAGAGGTCCTACTGTACAAATTCATGTACAGTACTGTAATATGAGACATTAAAAGATGAAAAATGTTGGATGTGTTAACAACTTAATGTTTGCAGGGTCATGGAATAGATTCAAAGATGTTTCACAGTTTGGTGAAAATGCCTCTTTAGAAACATTATCTTACTCCATTTGTGTAGCATTTCAGTCTTTTTGTGTTTCATTTGAACTCGTGAAGTATTTTCTTCTGTCTTTTGTCGACGAAGTGAATTTGTTTAATTAATTTCCTTATAACTAATTTTGGGAATGCATAATATTAAAAACAGAGCAATATGAGCAGATGATTTCATGATTTCTAGCGACGAGTTGCAGGTGGGGATGAGCTCATTAGAAGGTATCCAGACAGATGAGGATATCTACATCGTTGGCTTCCGAAAATTGCAGTTGGCAAAAACATTTTGAGGCCAGATTCTAAGTGTGAAAATGTCATTTGAGACAGACGATGTTCATTCAGACTTCATGGCCAGCCTTGTGAGCAGGACAGCCTTCATATATGTAAAGCCACTCTTTAAAATTTTTGTCCAGGTGCAATGCAACACGACTCCAGGTAGATCTTGGTCTGGATGAAACAGAATATTTCTTGATGCACAGACAAACATTTTTATCCTACATGATGCATAGGTGTATTACTGTGACATTATTTCAATTCCTTTAAGTTTATATATTTAGTTTATTTAGGCTACAACAAGCTGTCTGGGCTTTTACAACATTACAGGCTCTTGAGGCTCTTTTTGTAAATATTTGTTTTGAATCAGCACTATCAATCTTCTTTTACTGTATTTGTATACAGTATAAAATACAGTAGTAATGCACATATTGGACCATAAAGGCACGTACTCGGCAGCCTGCAAGAGTCCAGAGGTCGGGATGGCATTAGCAGCCATTCAAGGCCTTTTCACTCCCTGGAGAGGTTTTTTGTTCAGACACAATCCCCGGGACTTTCAGCAAGCATAAAGGAAGTGCTGGCCTCAGCGCGGCTTAATGGGCGAGGCCACATGGACATGGACATGCTCACACACGCACACACATTGAAGCACTGGTTAATATGCACACAAATTGTTTTCATCACAGACACATGCACACACACACTTACACACATAAAGCCACATGATATTGAAGTAATATCAATATGTGGACCTGCAATGATACTAAAATAAACAACATCTAATTTGAATGTTTTTCTGTTAAATAGTTACTCAGCAGCATCTATAAGACATTTATTTTCAGTTGTTGTAACAGGGTGAGTCAGCTTAATCCAAGTTATCAGTTAAAAGTCATGGCATGATCTTTTGCATGCAGTACCAAAGTCAAATGATTTTGATCCCAAATGAAGGAAAAAAAGAAAATCTTACCATGACATAATACAGGTATGGTACAAAAAGTTTATTCAGTTACAGTTCTGTTAACATTTGAGGTAAATGAACATTTACATCAACATGTTCTATCACAAAACATTCTGACGCAAGGCATTTCTCTTCAAAGACAGTCTTTTCACAACGGGACTGAAAGAAGGGGGGGAGTCTGTGTTCTTCCATTAAAAATCCTCTCGTACAAACATTTGTTTTCTATCCATTTTGTTTTAAGGCACGTCCGTTTTGGAAAAGAAAAAAAAAAGCTGGAGTTGCCAAACGTCTCTTAACCCATAATCAGGACAAAAAGAACAATCACTTAAGATTAATTTCTTGTCCATTCCAAGTCTAATTTTCTAGTGTTATTTCCATAAATAAACAAAAATATGTTAATATTCCTTGTCCAAGGACACTCTTTTCTTCTATATATAATATCTAATATATCTTCATATCCTCATAACGGTGGTCTATAACTAACCAAATGTGCAAATCTTTATCTACAGTTCAAATGTACTAAGAACCCTTTAGAACAATAAGGTTATAAGAAACAGTCACTTCTGAAACCTTGTTCCAACAATATCTAGTGACAAAGGGGGGGGGGGGGGACTCGACTTCCCCTGATTCCTGTCAGGGTTGTGTAATCTCGGGGTTGGAATCATAGTTGTTATGGTTGGGGTTAAGGTTCCCAAGCAAAACTTTAAAAATGATGCACCAGTGTTGTGACATCTTTAGCACAAATATCTTTGGTATGATAAGTATCTTTAATAAAATGTCATTCATCACAGCTGTTCTTTCAAAGTAGATTAAGCGCTTCAGTTGCTAGATTGTGCCGACACGATGAGAGACATGTAAACATTCAACTCTCTGAAACATCCTATCATAAGACTTACAAAACTAATGTGGTTCATAGAATTGCCAGTTATTGCTTCTTATTTGTCCCCTTTATAAATTGGTTTGTAAACCTATGTATAAAGAATCATTTTAATCCATGATAAATTGGAAATCATACTTTTTTCAAGTACCAAAAACGCACCCTGACATAGTATTGATAACCTCCTGCTAAGCTAAATTTTCCAGTAAAGCTAAATCCATTTTTACTGTAGATAAATTTGAATCCCAAACCTTTTGATTCATACTTCATCACATCAGCTATATAGACTAGAATAAAGTGATCAACTATGCATTTTGTCCGAAAGCTCCAAAGAAGGTGAATCAAACAATAAATACTGTGAAGACGATTACAGAGTTGTTGTGTTGTGATTAAGCTAGCTGTCCATTACGATTAGCTGTCACAGTGTTGGAAATATTCATTAGCTAATGGTAAAATTAAGATTTGACATTGTTGGACATTTTTATCGTGTTAAAATGCCTTTCATGGCTGTCGTTGAAAGACTAAGTTAAAGCTAGTTAGCCTAGCTAAGCATGAAGACAAGAAAACAGGGAGTCACAGCTAGCTTGTTCAAATGTTTAAGGCCTCTAGAAAATGGCTTGAAATAGTAAATCTCGTTTGTCACACAGGTAATTCTCTGTGAAGTGCAGCTCAAGAAAGTTCCCACAATCAGAGGAGGAAACAGAATATTACTCTTTATTCCTTTTTATCATTTCATGGTGAGTTACAAAATACCCTGCTGTCATAGTTAGCATACGCACACACTTTGTGCCAAAATGCCCCAGTTTGTTCCAGAAGCTATGAATCCATTACTTTTTTTTTACTTTTTTTTAAAACTTTTTTTAATAATAGGGCTATTTGTTAGCTAAACTTCACCTGCTAACCCCTGAGAACACTTACCCTACAGCCATTAGTTGTAGCCGCAGTCGCTACTAAACACTAGCAAACTATGCTAATATTAGCACTAAACGGCTACTAGCGCTAAGAGTTTCTAGTGGAAAATCTTAGGATAATATGTGATTAATACTGTAATGATGACTAATAATGTAGGTTATTGTGTGATAAATGAGCCATGATATTAGCATTTTAGGTTGTAGCCGTAGCTATTTATTGTACTTAGGTCCCAAAAAAAGATTTATTATTTGGCCCATTAAAAAGTTCCCAGTTGCCATTAATGTAACTTAGCATCATCTCCCGTATTGATTGTTTCAAGCAGCAAATCATAACTTCAAGCCTTGATTGAGGCCTTCAATAATGAGCCAATTACCTGTTAAGAGAATGACCTCTCAATATTACCCAATGAGAAAACATTTAATCAGACTTAAACAAAACTACCAAACAAAGGAATTCTGTGAGATGGCTTCGTAAAAGGTTCATTTATGTGAACAGACCTTGCATATTGATTATTCTATCAAACTCACTTTTAATTGGTTATTCTGGTATTAAATTGCTATTTCAGGCACGTATGGTAAACACTGGTACATGCATTTTATCTTTAGAAGAGTCATCCACTATTCTGCTAACTGCTAAATCTCCTTTTTCTGACTTGCTATTCTGGAACTTTTTTTCCTGATTGATAAATAACACATTGATTTGATTATTGTTGGAAAGTTGCTTTACAGCAATGGATCTTATTTTTGAACTTATTTTTTCTTTCTCTTTTTTTGGCAGGAGTTAAAGACAAAAACAGGAAAACACATTCTATGTAGGATTTCAGTTAGGACTTGACAGAAATATAAATTTCAACACTTTTTTAAGCTCATATAGTCTCTCCTTTTCGCTAAAAAAAATCTAAAAACTACAGTATCATCTACAGCTAGTCTAAAAAATAACTCTGAGTCCTCCTATACATATCAGCTATAGGAGAAACTCAATAGTTCTGTAACACACTGCAAACACAAGCGTCAGAAAAGAGATGTACTGATTTGTAAGATCAGTAAGAGTTAGAGTATTAAATCAAGAACTTTAATTTAAGTTGTCCCAATGCCTCTGACATTGGACTTTTGCATAGTTATCTTTGGCCAAATATCAGTGATAATGTTTTGTGTCACTTTTTGTTTTTGCAAATTGCAGCTTAAACATAAACCCGCTTTTTAAATGTATGTAGTTCTATATAACATCATGTTCTTGTATATGTACATATTTATATACTTTTTATAGTTAACCCTGATGTAACTGCAAAAATGTAATTTTGTAAACAATGATACAAGATTAAGGTATTTAAACACACACACACACACACACACACACACACACACACACACACACACACACACACACACACACACACACACACACACACACACACAAAACACACACACACACACACACACACACACACACACACACACACACACACAGACAGCCTGGGAAGGACTATGTCTCAGGTTGGGACTGCTTCATCTGCTCCATCCTAACGTCCCTCTCTTCATTGAAACTACCGGCTGGATGAGATCAGCACACACAGACACAAACAGGTTCAACAAAACGAACCTTAAAGCTCGATTATCATGTCACGAGAAAAAAATAAAAATAAAGAAACAAAAAGTGCAAACCTTTCCTTTGATGTCTCCCAGCAAAGAATTAAATGAGAAATAGAAAAAGAA